AGGGGTGCGCCAAAATGGGGCGGGGCCGCCATGCGAACCCTGCCACTGGGGCCTTCGGTGCAGCTCCCTATGGGGCCACGAACTGTGTGAGGGGCGCGCCAAAATGGGGCGAGGCCGCCATGCGAACCCATCCACTGGGGCCTTCGGTGGAGCTCCCTATGGGGCCACGAACAGTGTGAGGGGTGCGCCAAAACGCGGGGCCGCCATGCGAACCCTGCCACTGGGGCCTTCGGTGGAGCTCCCTATGGGGCCACAAACCGGGTGAGGGGTGCGCCAAAATGGCGCGGGGCCGCCATGCGAACCCTGCCACTGGGGCCTTCGGTGCAGCTCCCTATGGGGCCACGAACCGTGTGAGGGGTGCGTCAAAAGGCGGGGCCGCCGTGCGAACCCTGCCACTGGGGCCTTCGGTGGAGCTGCCTATGGGGCCACGAACCGTGTGAGGGGTGCGCCAAAACGCAGGGACCCTGCCACTGGGGCCTTCGGTGGAGCTGCCTATGGGGCCACGAACCGTGTGAGGGGTGCGCCAAAATTGCGCGGGGCCGCCATGCGAACCCTGCCAGTGGGGCCTTCGGTGGAGCTCCCTGTGGGGCTACGAAACGCTGCACTGGGTGGGTGAAACGCAGGGAGGAGAGAGGAGGGGGAGAAGGAGGAGGAGCGGGAGCGGCGGGAACGCGGGGCACCGTCTCTTCAAAACGAGGACCCAACACCACAGGATGGTTGGGAACAACAAAACAAAACAAACAAAACCAAAACAAAACAAAACAACACAACACAACAACAACAACAACAACAACAATCATTTTACCCGAACGCTCAGTGTTCTCACCAGTGCCAGGGTTTTCATACGACGCCCGCCAATACCCCCACTTTGTGGGGGGGCCGGTTCAAGCTCTACCACATTTCCAAACGACTCTTCGCCACCACCCACACCCAGCTTCCCGCCCTATGACGTTCGGACACTTCACTTCGTGGCATGCGGACGACCGTGGCTACTACACTGGCGCATGGTTTCAATGACTTCTTGTGGTAACATCTTGTGGAAACTAGCTTAGTATACGACGACGACGATTTGAAGGGCCTACGGTGCGAAAAATGATTTTATGTTGCGCGGTGCTAAAATTCCTACGAAACCCAATGGTTTTTGAAGATTTCGGCGTGCGCACGGAAAGAAAAAACGAATGTGTCCCGCATGGTATTATTTGACAGGGATGATGGCCCTGGCAGGTGCGCAACCGTTGTTGGAGAAGTTCGAAGCACGTGAAGAAGTTGATCGCAAAAGCCCGTTTGACAGAAATGTTTAAAAAAGTTGGGTTTCCTGCAAATCCGCAAGAGCGCGCGGGATGAAATTGTGACACTTTAAAAAAAAAAAAAAAAAAAAACATTGGTTTTTTGATGTTTTTATGTTGAAATCGCTACGAACACTAAGGTTTTGGAAGGATTTCGTCTTGCGCGCGCGAATGTCCACTTTACCTTATTTTTTGCAAGGGATTCTTGAAGTTTGGTTATTTTAGAACAAGAAATTTCATTTTATAGTGTTTTTTGCAAGGGACAGCGGGGGGGAACAAAACAACCGGATCTTGATGACATCGTATTACCTGAGGCTTCCTCACGAAAATGATGAAAATGTAGCTGCGGCCTAGGCGCGGCGAGGGGGTCGCGCACCAGGGGTCCCAACAATAATTATTCTTTAGAATAAATAATGTTCAACAACAACAACAACAACAACACAAACCAAAACCAAAACCAAAACCAAAAACAAAAACAAAAACAAAAACAATAACAAAAACAAAAACAACAACAACAAAAACAAAAACAAAAACAAAAACAAAAACAACAACAACAACAACAACAACAAGGCAAAACAACCTGCTGGTGTACCCGGAGCCGGTCCACCAGTTCGCTGTTTTGCTCCATGTAGCGAAACAACCCACTGGTGTACCAGGACCCCCCCCCCCCCCCCCCCCCGCAACGCAACGCAACGCAACGCAACACGGCTGTATGAGCAGCCTCTGTTGCGTTGTGTTCCGTTGCGCGGGCAGGTGGGGGGTGTGTGACCCTACGGGAGCTCCCACTGTATGGGATCCCCTACGGATCCTAGACGGACTGTATAGGATCCCATACGGATCCTATACGGACTGTATGGGATCCCATACGGATCCTATACGGACTGTATGGGATCCCATACGGATCCTATACGGACTGTATGGGATCCCATACGGATCCTATACGGACTGTATGGGATCCCATACGGATCCTATACGGACTGTATGGGATCGCATACGGATCCTATACGGACTGCATGGGATCCCCTACCGATCCGATACGGACTGTATGGGATCCCCATACGGATGCTATGCGGACTGTATATACGGATCCCATAAGGACTGTATGGGATCCCATACGGATCCTATACGGATCCTATGTATGGGATCCTATACGGTATGGGATCCCATACGGATCCTATACAGACTGTATGGATCCCATACGGATCCTATACGGACTGTATGGGATCCCATACGGATCCTATACGGACTGTATGGGATCCCATACGGATCCTATACGGATTGTATGGGATACGGATCCTATGGATCCCCTACGGATCCTATACGGACTGTATGGGATCCCCTACGGATCCTATACGGACTGTATGGGATCCCTTACGGATCCTAGACGGACTGTATGGGATCCCCTACGGATCCTATCCAGACTGTATAGGATCCCATACGGCGTCTATACGGACTGTATGGGATCCCATACGGATCCTATACGGACTGTATGGGATCCCATACGGATCCTAGACGGACTGTATGGGATCCCCTACGGATCCTATCCAGACTGTATAGGATCCCATACGGCGTCTATACGGACTGTACGGGATCCCATACGGATCCTATACGGACTGTATGGGGTCCCCTACGGATCCTATACGAACTGTATGGGATCCCATACGGATCCTATACGGACTGTATGGGATCCCTTACGGATCCTAGACGGACTGTATGGGATCCCCTACGGATCCTATACGGACTGTATGGGATCCCCTACGGATCCTATACGGACTGTATGGGATCCCATACAGATCCTATACGGACTGTATGGGATCCCTTACGGATCCTAGACGGATTGTTCTCGCTTGGGTTCCCGATGGGGCGCTCTGGAGGGTCTGGGGGGAGGCGCCGTGAGAGGCGGGGCCCGAGGCCTCTAGAGGCTCGTCCTCCTCCTCCTCCTCCTCCTCCTCTACATCCTCCTCGTCCTCCTCCCCTTCCCCCTTCCCCCCATCCCCCTCCTCCTCCTCCTCCCCCTCCTCCTCCTCCTCCTCCTCCTCCTCCTCCTCCTCCTCCCCTCCTCCTCCATCTCCTCTCCTCCTCCTCCTCCTCCCTCTCCCCCTCCTCCTCCTCCTCCTCCTCCTCCTCCTCCTCCTCCTTCCTCCTCCTCCTCCCCCTCCTCCTCCTCCTCCTCCTCCTCTCCTCCTCCTCCTCCTCCTCCTCCTCCTCCTCTAGGAACCCTGTACGGGTCCTATAGGAATCCTATGGAACCGTGTAGGGGTCCTATAGGAATCCTATGGAACCCTGTAGGGGTCCTGTGGGAGCCCTATAGAACCCTGTACGGGTCCCTGTACGCCCCGCGGGGGGGCGCGCGGGGAGAGCGTTGCGTTGCGTTGCGCTGCGTTGCGCGGGGGGGGGGGGGGGGGGGGAGGCCGGTCCGCCAGCTAGTGGTTTCGTCAACAACAACAACAACAACAACCAACAATTACTACCGTCACTCAGTGTTCTCACCAGTGCCAGGGTTTTCATACGACGCCCGCCAATACCCCCACTTTGTGGGGGGGCCGGTTCAAGCTCTACCACATTTCCAAACGACTCTTCGCCACCACCCACACCCAGCTTCCCGCCCTATGACGTTCGGACACTTCACTTCGTGGCATGCGGACGACCGTGGCTACTACACTGGCGCATGGTTTCAATGACTTCTTGTGGTAACATCTTGTGGAAACTAGCTTAGTATACGACGACGACGATTTGAAGGGCCTACGGTGCGAAAAATGATTTTATGTTGCGCGGTGCTAAAATTCCTACGAAACCCAATGGTTTTTGAAGATTTCGGCGTGCGCACGGAAAGAAAAAACGAATGTGTCCCGCATGGTATTATTTGACAGGGATGATGGCCCTGGCAGGTGCGCAACCGTTGTTGGAGAAGTTCGAAGCACGTGAAGAAGTTGATCGCAAAAGCCCGTTTGACAGAAATGTTTAAAAAAGTTGGGTTTCCTGCAAATCCGCAAGAGCGCGCGGGATGAAATTGTGACACTTTTAAAAAAAAAAAAAAAAAAAAAAAAAAAAAAAAAAAAAAAAAAAAAAAAAAACATTGGTTTTTTGATGTTTTTATGTTGAAATCGCTACGAACACTAAGGTTTTGGAAGGATTTCGTCTTGCGCGCGCGAATGTCCACTTTACCTTATTTTTTGCAAGGGATTCTTGAAGTTTGGTTATTTAGAACAAGAAATTTCATTTTATAGTGTTTTTGCAAGGGACAGCGGGGGGGAACAAAACAACCGGATCTTGATGACATCGTATTACCTGAGGCTTCCTCACGAAAATGATGAAAATGTAGCTGCGGCCTAGGCGCGGCGAGGGGGTCGCGCACCAGGGGCCCCAACAATAATTATTCTTGAGAATAAATAATGTTCAACAACAACAACAACAAACAACTGAGGCAAGCCTAATTGGGGAAAACAACTCAAAATGAAAAGCCAATGTGGGGGGGACCAACAAATTATTATACAGATATAGCACAACAAAAACTCAGGCAAGCCTAAATGGGGAGAACGACTCAACATGAAAAGCCAATGTTGGGGAAGAGGTCAAGAACTTGTGGGCTCCACGTTGCGGAAGGAGCACGACGTTGGAAGTCTGGGGTCGCTCCTCCTTTCCTTGACATCCAGCGCCCCACCCGGGCTCGCCGCCGAACAGCAACCGCCCCCGCACTCTGGCGCGGCGCGCCACCTCGTCGGCATCTTTTTCACGGCGACGAAGGTGCCACCTCCCCGCCCGCCGTCCCGCGGGAGGCCCACCGAAAACACTGCAGATATCGCGCATGGCCCCGGGCCGCCCCCCTCCGCCGCCCCGGCAGCAAGAGGGGGCGCGCCGAAGGGGGCGGGGCGGGGCGGGGCGGCGGGGAAGTGGGAGGGGGCGGGAGGGAAGAGGAGGGGGAGGAGGGGAAGGGGGGGGAGGAGGAGGAGGGGGAGGAGGAACGTTTTGGAACGTTTTGGCAAGCAACGTCGTGCAGGAGAGTACGGGACAGGGAGGAAGGAGAGCGCAGCAAGCAAGGAGCGCACGTGCCTCAAACGGCACACCCTCGCGCTCGTGCCTGCTGAACGGCCACGGCTGCAATGCGATCATGGCGGTGCAGGGAACTCGCCTTGGACGGTCCTGCAAAGCTCGGGTACAATCCGCGACGAATTCTGCCCGTCATAGCCTTTCTTCGAGGGCGCTTGGCACTCGGGCACCAGCTGGTACCCGTCCGAAGTAGCCGTTCGGCCACAAACCTGGCACGCATACAAGCTGTGCAATCCCAGAACGCCAGCTTGTGAGAGGGATGCAAGACCGCACCAGAAGCCGAGACAGGCCCAGGGACCTCGACAACGACGTCCGGGGGGAAGGGGCGAACACCACGGCAGGGATGCAAGGTGCCTTGGGGACTAAAAGGTCCTGCGTATCCCAATGCACGTCACACACTCTGCAGCGGAAGGAACTGCCATGCGTCACGAATTTGTGCGGCGAGGCGCGAAACGCTCGATCAAACTTCGACCCTGGCCTCGCTCTCTCCAAGGGAACAACCGACGGCCGAGCTTTCCTGGGGTCGGCCAGGATTTGGGCAGTCTGCGCATCCCAAAAACCGGTCGTGGGATCAGGACGGGCCGGAAAATGCCAGGAACGATCGGCGGCCTCTGAGGCCGCTTGGTCCGCCAGGTGATTTCCAGCCTTGAAGGAAACCTGACGGGCTGAAAGGCCCTCGGCCTCGAGGTCTAGGTGAGAAACCGCCAACTCTAAGGTGACTCGCCCCTCTCCTCGTGAGACTGGGGCGGTTTTAATTCGGAGCCACAAATCCCAATTCCTCACCCACCGCACTGGCCCGACCCCGCTCCCACCCAGAAACTAAAGGATATGGTCCGTAACATAATGAAAAGGGCCTGTAGTGCCCTCAAGACACAGCGCGAAAGCCAGAAGCTCGGAACGAGGAGCGGCTTGAGACTTACCAGCTAAAATGCCAGAAACGCCCCCGACCACCTCCCACAGCGACGTCCCGGGGATGATTCTGACCACCACAGAAGCCGCGCCACAACGTCGGCGACGAGGGTCGGAGGAGAAACGCCCTCCAGAACCATCCCCGAAAACCACCAAGGCCGCAGAGCCGACAGACGACAACTCCATCGGGGACGTCGCGCCGAGGGGATTTAATCCGTTTGTCCACGAACTCGGGGTGAACGTGGTCGGTCGGGGGGGGGCACCTCTGAGCCGCAAACCTGGATTCATATCACTATTCACTGAAGCCTGAGATACAAGGGAGGCGGAGAGGGAACAATCCCCATGATCTCCGCTGCGCTCACACTCCAAAATGCGACGCCGCAGCGTCTCAGGCGATTGGCCGCACCGCGGGTACTGCTGTTGCTCCTCCGTGCCCGTCGGAAACTGGCGGACGCGAGGCCACTGAGCACCAGCAGCCACGCACAGCGTCCGGCCCGCCATGTCGCAGTCCCCATCCTTCGAAAACTCGACGAATTCCCGCCGAGGCCAGTAGAGGTGAGCTCCTCCTTGGAGGTCGTAGGCGCCATCATGCTCAGCAGCCTGAACCCATACATGAATACTGAAATCATGCATCAAGTCGTCCAGAATCTCATCCCCTGCGAAGCCTGCCAGGGACGAAGCGGGGAGCTTCCACTCAGCATGTCCAGCGGGTTCTGAGCGCCACCAAGAAACTGCAGTAGTAGGTGTCCATCCAGCGTCGAGAAGTGTCGCGATCACCGCTGAAACTGGTCCTTTGACAACTCGCCATCTGCCCGATCGAACTGCCAACTCAAGCCGGCGTAAAATCCTCGGCCAAGCTTGTTCATCTCTCTGATGGTATTCTGGATGAAGGCGCCAAGCTGCAAGGTACTCAGCCACGAGCTGACGACGCAACTCCAGAGCTGGGCCATTCTTTCCGTATAATATTTCCAAAGTGCTGGCCAAGCATCTGCCCTTCAGCGGGCCCACCCACGCCGCGGCAGCTTGGCGGCAGACTCGGAGCAACTGGTACGGAGCAAGACCCGGCACCTGAGGCCCGCGCGCTGCTTGGGGCAGCGCTCCCACTTTCCAGAGGCCCTGCGAGACTCTGCGAAGGCGAGCATGGTGACAAAGCGCTGTAGTCGGAGGGCGCGTCTAGCAGCAGTAGCAGCACGTTGCGACGATTTGCGAACCGACCGTCGTCCACCCCCAGTTGCGTCCACTCCTAGGCCCACTGCCTCCAGACACTATTGCGCAGGAATGGCTTTGCGGCGAAGCGGCTTGGCCAGCTTTTTAGCCAAGCTGACGTCACTGGCCAGCAACACCGTCTTAGGAGAAACCACCAATCGCGTAGTGTCCAATCCTTGCTTGAAATCTTCGGCGGAGGAGACCATGCGAGATTCAACCAGCTCTCTCGGTCCTTCTGCTCGAAGCACGGCGTCGTCGATAAAGGTCCAGAACGTAATGGAATCGGCCCGTTGTTGGGATCGCTGGAGCAAGGGTGCAAGAACAACTTAGCAGATCGTATCCCATGCAAGGAACCTGCCACCAGTGATCGCGTCGGCAGAATCGCCTCAGCGGTGCCTCTCTGGCCTCGCAAGAAACGAGGGCTAGCACAGAACTGCGCCTCGAGGCAGACCACGATGGGCGGATAGCCCAACTGTTGCGCTGCACAGCCCGGCAAGACCCAAGACCGCGAGCCGTAAAACTGCTCAGAGGAAGAGCGAGGGGCCTGCTGCCTCCCTGGTCGCCGTTTCTCGCCGTCGCCCTCCCCCAGGGCGGGGCAGGATGGGGTCGGAGCGGTAGGCGTCGGAACCGACGCCGGGCCTGATCGGATGAACTCGAAACAAGAGCCGCGGAACGGAATGCCGGCATCGAATCGGCTCAAATCAGAGCCTCCAGAAATCGAACCAGATCGACCAGGTGGCGTCGTAAAGCGCCCTGTGCAGCAGGGGTCTAGGAGGAGACGAATACAGTCGTGGACTCAGAGATGGACTAATCATGCAGGGCAAGGGGCGGGGAGGAAAATTAAGCATCTGGGGATCACAGCTGCCTCTCCGCTTCGCCCGACCCCCGCTCCCTATTAGGCCTCTCCCCCCTAACCTTTGCTTGTCTCCCCCGTCACCGCCCTCCGTCCATCCAATAATTCTCCCGCTGCCCCTCTACCTCGCCTTCTACCCAGAAGTCCGACGTCATGATTTTTCGCAGCGTCGACCCCCGGAGTCTCGACACCCTCTCGGGGACCAGAGGGACCAACTTTTCACCTCGACTCGTTTTCACGACACCAGGACACAAGGAGGGCTCCAGCAAGCAGCATGCAATCGCAGCCATGATTGTTTGAGAACGCGAAGTTGGGTGTCCTCCCCTCCTCGAGCATCGTCCAGCCCATCCCCATCCCCACTGGGTCATGGTCTTCCAGCCCCACCAGCCCACCCTCCCAGGTAAGGATAGCCCACGAAACCCGAGGGAAGCGGCATATATGAGTCTGGGTCGAGGGTTCCCAGCCCCCCCGATTGGATGGGTCCCAGGGTTGCACAGCCAGCCCACCCCCAAGATGGGCTGCGGGGGGGACAACGACGACGACGACGACGACGACGACGACGACGACGACGACGAAGACGAAGACGAAGACGACGACAAAGACGACGGCGACGACGACGAAGACTACGATGACAAAGACGACGCAGGCTCTGACGACGACGACGAAGACGACGACGAGCATGAAGACGACGGCGACGACGAAGACGACGACAATGAGGATGGAGACGACGACGACGAAGTCAACGACAACGGCGACGGCGACGGCGACGGCGACGGCGACGGCGACGGCGACGCCAGCGCCAACGTCGACGACGACGCCGCCGCCGACGACGACGACGACGACGACGCCGACGACGCCGACGACAACGCCGACGCCGACGCCGACGCCGACGCCGACGCCGCCGCCGCCGCCGACGACGACGGCGACGACGACGACGACGACAATGACGACGGCGGCGACGACGGCGGCGGCGACAACGCTGACGACACGCAGACGACGCCGACGCCGCCGCCGCCGCCGACGACGACGACGCCGACGACGACGCCGACGCCGACGACGACGACGACGACGACGACGACGACGACGACGACGGAAGACGAGTCCGATGGAAGACGACGACGTCGTCGTCGACGACGACGACGACGAACCACCCTACACCCACAGGGGAGGGGGGGGGAGCACCAGCAGCCTCCGCCGCCGCCACGCTCGCAGGGCCACGGCCAAGCGGTGGGGGGGGCACGATGCCATTCGCGGGGCCTTTTGCGAGGGCCATGGGCGCGCCCGTCCTGCGGGGGGGGGGGACTCGATCCCATGTGCACTGGGGGGTGCGACGCTGGGTCATGTACTCCAGATTTCGCCATAAAAGGGAGGGGGTCACAACCCTCACAGACGGGCAATTCCAGACCCCCCCAAACAAGCCATGAAGGGCGGCTTTTGGCCCAGACCCACTGGAACCCTCCAAGACAGCTCAAATCTGACCCCATCCCAAATCAGACCACCCCCCCTTTTATTGTGAAATCTGGAGGATCCCCACCTGGTGGGGCAAGTCGGCCAGTGGGGCCAAAGCCATGCCGCTGGGCCCTGCCCTGCACCCTCTGGCCCCCTCTGGCCCATCTGGCCCCTCTGCCCCCCTGCCCCCTCTGGCCCCTCCTTCGCGCATGAGCTCCACGCACCCGTGGTTTCGCTTGGCTTCCTGCGCTGGCCGCCCGGGGGGGGGGCCTCCGCTCCCAGCGCTGGGAGAATTGTGAGTAATGAGAGTGATCTGCCACCGTGTCTGCGGCACGTTGAGACGGGGAAGAGTGCCAAGGGCTGCCTGGCAGGTTTCTGTAGTCTTCTCACGGATCGCCCACTATTCGTTCAGTAGACAAGCGGCTGCACCACCCCTACTCCTGGGGATGCCGTGGACGGCCATGGCGCTGCCCTGAGTCTCTCCAAGGCTAAAGACGGTCTAGGAGGGCACCGAGTCGCCGAACGATTGCTCTAAGACGCCCAAGATGGCCTCCAGATGGCCCAAGAGGCCTCCAAGAGGCCCCAAGAGTTCTCCAAGATGCCTTCTAAGAGGGCCCCAAGAGGCAACAACCATGGATGTTCCTTCGGTGTTTGAACGATCTTGGCGTTCTCGCCTTTTCAACTTTTCGACGCTCCAAGACGGCCCAAGAGGCTCTCAAGACCACCCCAAAACAGCCCAAGAGGCCTCCTAGAGACCCCAAGACGGCCCAAGAGCGCTCCAAAACGGCTCAAAAGGCGCCCAAGACGGGCAAAGAGTGACCCAATACGGCCCCAAAAGGGGCCAGGAGAGGGAACACGAACCGAAAATCCGAGCCTTCCGCCCCAAGAGGCCCCAGGATGCCCCAAAAGGCGCCCAACAGGTCCCAAGAGGCCCCCATGAGGCCCAAAAGAGGCCCCCAAAAGGCTCCAAAACTGCCCCTAAGAGGCCTCAAAACTGCCTCCAAGAGGCCCACGCGAGGCCTCCCACGAAATCCCAACGAACATCCTATGGGCAAAAGACCCACAGCCCAGGCGAGGTGGCGGGACTTGCCGCAGGCAGCTGAATAACACGAGTGACAGAGGTGTAACATGTACGCTGTACATCTGTGCATTTGCAGCAGCAGTAGACAACAGGCAAGCAACGCAGTGTGTATAGACGAGCTTAGCAGAAGCGCGATGCGAGGCTGTGTAACATGATCCGACGATCCAGCGTTTGAATTTACAATCTTACAGCCTGAGTTTCAGCTCTGCTGGGGGGGGGCCCGGGTGGCGTTGCCGGGGAAAGGGGGGAAAGGGGAGGGGTCTACACTTTTCCAGGAGAGGGCGTTTTCGAGCGAGCCCAGGAAAGCCCCAACACGGGCCAAGAGGACCCCAATAGGCTCCCAAGACGGCCCCGGAAGGTCCTGAGTTGTTAAATGATTGGTCCAAGACGCCAAAATTGGCATCCATACGGCCCAAGGAGCTTCCAAGACGCCCGAAGAAGCTTCCGAGAGTGCTCCCGAGAGGGCTCCTAAAAGCAAAAAGTGCTACATTCCCTCCGGAAAACGTACATGTTCAGCATATTCGCCTCATGGGCTTTCAAAGCGTCGAAGACGGCCTAAGACGCCCTCATGATCGCTCCCAAACGTACCAAGAGGCCCCCAAGAGAGCCCCCAAGAGAGCTCCACGACGGCCCCCCCAAGGCCCGAGAAGCTCCAAAGACAGCCCAAGAGGGCCCCAGGACGGGCCCAAGAAAGGTCGCAGAGGGGGAACAAACATGTCATTTAGAGCCGTCGACCCCAAGACACCCCCAGGAGGCTTCAAGAAACCTCCAAAGTCCCCTAGAGGCCCCAAGAGCCCCCCCCAGTAGGCCCTGGTCCTCCTTGACTTCGTCCTCTTTCTTCATCGATCCATGCTTGCATGCCGAATTAAGCTCATCATCGTAAGTGCGACGCCCACCCCCGTGTTGCATGATGAGCATCCTTTCTTGTTCCTCCTCCTCCTCCTTCTCCTCCTCCTTCTCCTCCTCCTCCTGTGACTCTCCCTCCTCTTCCTCCTCCTCCTCCTCCTCCTCCTTTTCCTCCTCCTCCTCCTCCTCCTCCTCCTCCCTTTCCTCCTCCCTTTCCTCCTCCTCCTCCCCCTCTTCCCCTCGCCCCCACGCGGCACCCAGGGATGGCCCGAAGAGGCCTTCCAAGACCACCCCTTTGCTCGCTTTTTTTCCCTAGATGTGTCTCTTCGTCTCTTCGTCTTCCTCCTCTCCAAGCTCCTCCCCCTCTTCCACCTTTTGCTCCTCCACCCCCCTCTGTATCTTTAATAGTCTCCCACCAGCCCGCCTGGCGCAGGTGGTTTAACGATGATTACCTAACAGCGAAGACTGAGAGGTTTCTAGTGGTGTCAAAAGAGAGCAGCACATTACTCCACAGGGGGGTCTGGGCAGCCGTTGGGGAGCCGTTGGGGGGCCGTTGGGGGGCCGTTGGGGATTGCCGGGGAACCTCGTTTTTCGCAAACAGTCACACACTTCGTGCTCTTCGACCTCCCAGAACTCCATTCTTCGACCTCCCAGAACTCCATTCCCGGGCCACATTCTGAATGCCCGGAGCCAACTGTAGGCCACTTCGTGGTCTTCGAGTTCCCAGAACTCCATTCCCGGCGTACATTTTGGATGCCCGGAGCCAACTGTAGGCCACTTCGTGGTCTTCGAGTTCCCAGAACTCCATTCCCGGGCCACATTTTGGATGCCCGGAGCCAACTGTAGGCCACTTCGTGCTCTTGGACTTCCCAGAACTCCATTCCTGGGTATGATTTTGAATGCCCGGAGCAAACTGTAGGCCACTTCGTGTTCTTCGAGTTCCCAGAATTCCATTCCCTGGCCACATTTTGAATGCTGAGGCAGGCTGAGCTGCTGATGCAGGCTGAGGCTGAGGCAGGCTGAGGCTGAGGCTGAGGCTGAGGCTGAGGCTGAGGCAGCTGAGACTGAGCCGAGGCTGAAGGCAGACTGAGGCTGAGGCTGAGGCTGAGGCAGGCTGAGGCTGAGGCTGAGGCAGGCTGATGCTGAGGCAGGCTGAGGCTGAGGCTGAGGCTGATGCAGGCTGAGGCTGAGGCAGGCCGAGGCTGAGGCCGAGGCTGAAGGCAGACTGAGGCTGAGGCTGAAGCAGGCTGAGGCTGAGGCTGAGGCAGGCTGAGGCTGAGGCTGAGGCTGAGGCTGAGGCTGAGGCTGAGGCTGAGGCTGAGGCTGAGGCTGACTGAGGCAGGCCGAGGCTGAAGGCAGATTGAGGCTGAGGCTGAAGCAGGCTGAGGCTGAGGCTGAGGCAGGCTGAGGCTGAGGCTGAGGCAGGCTGATGCTGAGGCAGGCTGAGGCTGAGGCTGAGGCTGATGCAGGCCGAGGCTGAGGCAGCTGAGGCTGAGGCCGAGGCTGAAGGCAGACTGAGGCTGAGGCTGAAGCAGGCTGAGGCTGAGGCTGAGGCAGGCTGAGGCTGAGGCTGAGGCAGGCTGATGCTGAGGCAGGCTGAGGCTGAGGCTGAGGCTGAGGCTGAGGCTGAGCTGAGCTGAGGCCGAGGCTGAGCTGAGGCTGAGGCTGAGGCTGAGGCTGAGGCTGAGGCTGAGGCTGAGGCTGAGGCTGAGGCTGAGGCTGAGGCTGAAGGCTGAGGCTGAGGCTGAGGCTGAGGCTGAGGCTGAGGCTGAGGCTGAGGCTGAGGCTGAGGCTGATGCTGAGGCAGGCTGAGGCTGAGGCTGAGGCTGATGCAGGCTGAGGCTGAGGCAGGCTGAGGCTGAGGCTGAGGCGAGGCTGAAGGCAGACTGAGGCTGAGGCTGAAGCAGGCTGAGGCTGAGGCTGAGGCAGGCTGAGGCTGAGGCTGAGGCAGGCTGATGCAGAGGCAGGCTGAGGCTGAGGCTGAGGCTGATGCTGAGGCTGAGGCAGGCTGAGGCTGAGGCCGAGGCTGAAGGCAGACTGAGGCTGAGGCTGAAGCAGGCTGAGGCTGAGGCTGAGGCAGGCTGAGGCTGAGGCTGAGGCAGACTGAGGATGAGGGCTGAGGCTGAGGCAGGCTGAGCTGAGGCAGGCTGAGGCTGAGGCTGAGGCTGAGCAGGCTGAGGCTGAGGCAGGCTGAGGCTGAGGCCGAGGCTGCAGGCAGACTGAGGCTGATGCAGGAGCAGGCTGAGGCTGAGGCTGAGGCAGGCTGAAGCTGAGGCTGAGGCTGATGGCTGAGGCAGGCTGAGGCTGAGGCTAATGCAGGCCACTGCGACTGTCATCGCGAATGCGACTACGACTGCGAGAACAGCAGAACTCTACAACTGGATTCTCATCTGAATCTTAAGGGGGATGCTTCCAGATATGCTCCTACACATCGCTGTTAGGTTGCTTTGCCGGGATAATTCTTTCTTTTTACCTAACAGCGAAGACTGATAGATTTCTAGTGGGGTCAAAAGAGAGCATCATGACTCCTCAAGACGGGTCGGGGAGGGACCCGGGGAGGGACCCGGCGCGGCTGCCGCCGAAGCCCAAACCGCTTAGGACATCCTCGCAAAATCGCTCTTGGCGCTGCTAGAACTCCATTCCTTCGTACAAGTTGGATGCCCGGAGCCAACTGTAAGCCACTTCGTGGTCTTCGACTTCCCAGAACTCCATTCCCGGCGTACAGTTTGGATGCCCAGAGCCAACTGTAGGCCACTTCGTGGTCTTCGAGTTCCCAGAACTCCATTCCCGGGCCACATTTTGGATGCCCGGAGCCAACTGTAGGCCACTTCGTGGTCTTCGAGTTCCCAGAACTCCATTCCCGGGCCACATTTTGATGCCCGGAGCCAACTGTAGGCCACTTCGTGCTCTTCGAGTTCCCAGAACTCCATTCCTGGGCATGATTTTGAATGCCCGGAGCCAACTGTAGGCCACTTCGTGTTCTTCGAGTTCCCAGAACTCCATTCCTGGGCCACATTTTGAATGCTGAGGCAGGCTGATGCTGCGGCCGAGGCAGGCTGAGGCTGAGGCAGGCTGAGGCTGAGGCCGAGGCTGAAGGCAGACTGAGGCTGAGGCTGAAGCAGGCTGAGGCTGAGGCTGAGGCAGGCTGAGGCTGAGGCTGAGGCAGGCTGATGCTGAGGCAGGCTGAGGCTGAGGCTGAGGCTGATGCAGGCTGAGGCTGAGGCAGGCTGAGGCTGAGGCCGAGGCTGAAGGCAGACTGAGGCTGAGGCTGAAGCTGAGGCTGAGGCTGAGGCTAGGCTGAGGCAGGCTGAGGCTGA